TCGCAGGATCTATCACCTTACTACAGATTGACCTAAAGAAAAAACACAATTTAGTTATTGCGCCTCTCACTTTTTTGGCAAAATAGAACGTATACCTATTGTTAGAAAGTGTTCCATTATAACATGGCAATCATGTATCTTTAAACTTTTTAACTCGAGGTCTTTCATAGAAACAAGTCTTCTAATATCTGAAGAGTATCCTTCTGGAACTTTAACTTCACTCAGAAACTTACACAGTATCTTTTTCTCCTTTCTAGATAAAGTATAAGCAGCAGATGGTAGATATGTGCGGTTTCCTTTCTTCAAGGGTCCTAATTCATTTCTTATTCCCATTGCTACCAAGTCCTTTCTTCCTTTAAGGTCATCCTTAGACTTTTCTTGTATATTGAGTAACGTACCAATAACACTTTCAAATACATTTTTTTCAATATGCATAACATCAAGAAAATGTCTTACATACAACGACTTCCAATACGGCAACTCAAACAAAATTGACCTCTTCTTCCACCCACGCGTGACAAGCGTATGAGCAAAAGGCTTGACAAACTTAGTACTCACATCGTTCACCTTTTCAAAAATTTGTTCGGCGGTCAATGTAGGTGGAGCTTTACGTTGTTCTGAATCTCCATTGAATGCTTTTCTCCACCCACGGTAGTGATGACTAGAATTTAAGAATCTACGATGACCAAGAAAGACATTCTTCTGACCAAATTCCAACCGCGTCCAATCTGTATTTTCTTCACAGATAGGACACGCACATTGACCTTTAATGCTATACCCCGATAGATTTCCGTATGCTGGGAAATCATTAATTGTGCCAAACAACATCGCCCTCAAATTGAAACTTTCTTTCCTATATCCATCATAAACCTCCACACCGTTCTCCCACAAACTCTTTAAGTCTTCGATTAGAGGTGTCAGGTATACGTCTATGTCATTCCCTGGTTGTTTAGGGCCAAAAATTAACATAGATAACATCATGTACTTACGCTTCATACGTAGCGATGGAGGTAGGTTATAAATCATAATAATTACAGGCCAGGTGGAATGTGAGATACTCTGCAGACCATGCGGATTCATTCCATCAGTCGATAATGCCAAGCGAAGGTTTCTAGCTTCTTCTCCAAAATCAGGATAATCATTATCAATTTTCATCCACTGTGGTGAATCTGCCGGATGTCGATACTTCCCATTTACAATTCTATCATCTGCATGCCAAGTCAGGTGTTTTGCATCTGTTTCACTACGAAACATGCGTCTGAATCTCGGAATTATAGGAAAATACCATAATACTTTTGCTGGTGACGATTTTTTCTTATACCGAGAGACACCGTATTTAGGACACTCGTTTAATGATGCATATTCATTTCGAAACAAAATGCAATCATTTGGACAAGCATGTATCTTATCATAGCTCATGCCAATAGAGCATAACATTTTTTTAGCTTCATAGGTTCGATTGGGAAGAACATTATCCTCCGGAAGCATCTCTTGAAGTAGGGCTAACAACTCTGTGAAACTTTTATCCGACCATCCATTACCCGCCTTTAAATTGTACAACTTTAATACCGCGGACAATCTTGTGAAAGTAGTGCAACCTTTATACAACGGTTTCTCTGCATCGCTTACCAACCTCTCAAACATCTTTGGACAATCTTTAAGATCTTCTTCAAGTGCTTCTGCAATCTCTTCGACTCGATCACAATCATATGTATCTCTGCCATTGTCCTTTGAAGCACATGTCGTATTATTCCGGGGTTCAACATTCTCGTTACTTATCTCACCATGTAATGTCCAACATGTGTAACTTCGATCAATTCCATGTCTCATTAAATGAGATTCCAACTGAACCGCGTCAATTCGACGCCCATAACAGCAACCTAAGCAAGGACATGTGATCCTACTGGGGTCTTTGGCATGTTCAACATCAAACTTAACGAACTTCGAGACCCCATTCTCGTACTCTTTTGACAATCGATTACCAGACATCCATTTTTTATCCATACTAATTGAGTAATCTACACTAAACTATAAAAGTTAAACAAAACAGAGAATACCTGTAAGGAAATCACTAACTTCTAAGAATGCTACGCAATAGGATGCTTGGAAACGATCACAGCTTTGCTCTTCACAGGTAACCCCTATAGCAGACAAAATATAAATTTTATTAAAATCATATTAATAATTAACCAACACAAATCATATTAAAAATACTAGATAATCCACCAAAACAAATCATATTAAAATTACTAGATAACCCTTAAACCAAAATGACACCCTTACTAAACATTGAGAAATCCTAACTAAACATATAAAACCATAATAACATATATATCATATAAACATTGAGAAATCCATCATAATAACATAATAACATATCAACATATAAAACCTTCACTAAACCTTCAATAAGTCATTTCTACACAACAACAACACTAAAATTTACTTGCATGCATGTCCTCAAACCTTCAATACAAAACAACAATATACGTATCATACTTGAACGCAACAACAAAAATAATTACTCAACAACAGTATACGTTATCAACACTAAAATTTACTTGCATGTCCTCAAAAGAAACATATCTACACAACAACAAAAACAATAGTATACCAACAATGGTGAAAAGAAAAACCATCAATATTTAGATAACAAAAACAATAGTATACCAACAACAAAAACAATAGTATACCAACAATGGTGAAAACAAATATTTAGAAAAACCATCAAATACCAACAATAGTGAAAAGAAAAACCATCAATATTTAGATAACAGTATTAACAAAAACCTTCAAAACCTTTAATGTCTTCAGATACCAACAATGGTGAAAAGAAAAAAAAATAAGAAAATCCCTTGAAACTGTCACATACCTTAACAATGGTGGAAATGCAATGCAGACGGACGGATGCACTCGAAAACGGACGGAGAACGGACGGTGAACGGACGGCGGGCGACGGTCGGACGGCGGATGACGGCACTTGAATAGGGCAAGTTCGTTCGCCAGAGGAGAAAGACAGAAGAAAAGAAATGTACGCGACTGTTCTGTTTCTCTTAAAATTCTGGAGGGTATTTAAAAATTATAATACTAATACCTATAGCAGCGCTTTTAAAGGCCTTTCGCAGCGCTTTTAAAAGCGCTTTCTTAGGGTGCCTTAGCAATGCCATATAGCAGCGCTTTATAGAAAAAGCGCTGCTAAAGGGCCCCCTTTAGCAGCGCTTTTTAAAAGCGCTTTCTTATGTCCCCCTCTAGGTCCCCCTTTAGCAGCGCTTTCTTAGGGTGCCTTAGCAATGTCATATAGCAGCGCTTTATAGAATAAGCGCTGCTAAAGGGGGACACCTTTAGCAGCACTTTTTAAAAGCGCTTTCTTAGGTCCCCCTTTAGCAGCGCTCTTTAAAAAGCGCTTTCTTAGGGCCCCCCTTTAGCAGCGCTTTTTCAAAAGCGCTGTCTTAGGTGGGGAATTTTTTTTCTTTTTTTTTGCCCACCCTTTAGCAGCGCTTTTTAAGAAGCGCTGCTAAAGGGTGCACTGCTAAAACTCATTTCTGGCGTAGTGTAAGGCAAGAATGAGAGTTAAATGTAAGGCAGGTTGCCCATGGTAGGCTTAGTGTGCAAATATTAAAGGTCAGGAGACTTGGCAATTGAGGACAATTGTGGACAAGCATACTTGTAGTAGGAATTATAAGATTAAGTTTTTCAATTCAAAATGGTGGGACAAGAAGACTCAAACAAGTGTTAGAGAGAATCTGGCTTTGTAGCTGACGGATATTATGTAGTAGACACATGAAAAGTGGAATGTTGGGATTAACAAGACATTGGCATATAGAGATAAAACATTAGCTATTGATATTGTGGATGGTTCTTTTAGAGAGCAGTATAGAAGAATTCATGATTATAGCCATAAACTATTGAGGGCAAGACACGGTATAAAGTGTAGTCCTTACCACAAGGATGGTCATAATATGGCCACTTGTAAACTGCCACAACCACAAGTTAGTTCAAGTCAGGTACAAGATGCAACAAGTCAGCAACCATCACAAGTTAATACAAATCAATCACCACCTGTTGCAAAAAGTCAAACACCAACACAAGCTGTTACAAGTCAACCACCACCACCTGTTGCAACAAATCAGCCACCACCACAATCTGTTACAAGTCAACCACCACCACCTGTTGTTACAAGTCAGCCCCCACCCAAAACTAAGAAAAAACTTCATAAGGGTGGCAAGCTTGTTTCAAGCCAACTATGATCAATATTATTATATTACTAGGATTTTGTAATGCCAATTAATGGCCTGACTCTTTTGTTTTTGTTAATGACCTTATAATGCTTGTTATGTATTGCCTTATAATGGCCTTTTGGTTTTGAACCTGTTATGTAATGCCTTACAATGACCTTTTGGTATTTGAACCCGTTATATAATGTCTTACAATAGCCTTTTGATTTTGAACCTGTTATGTAATGCCTTACAATGGCTTTTTGGTATTTTAATGACCTTGTTTTATTAAACAATGTATTGCCTTATAATGGCCTTGTTTTATTGAACCTGTTGTGTATCAAATATTGAATCAGTTAATGAATGATGGAATGATTATTGAACCTGTTATGTATCAAACTTTGAAACATGTTTTGAACTTGTTATGTATCAAACATGATATTGAACTTGTTATATATCAAACATTTTATTGAACCTATTATGAAACAAACATGTTGTAGTTTGTTTTCACAACTATTGGTCATTGGCTGCATATTTTACAGGTTGGATATTGAGATATTATTCAATAAAAATATGAAAACAAAACACATACATTATTCATTGAAACAGCATAACAATATATTATTCATTAAACAAACTTATCAATTTGTTACAACATAACAGTATATTATTACAAACATAAAAACATAACTTAAAACTACCCTAAAACTAATTGAGATACACTGTTACAAACACAAGGTTCAACCCTAAGCTTACAATCCCAACAATGGACATTTTGAGTCACCCTCAAGTGTACATAACTTCATTCTTCAATATGTTAATTTTCTTCTTTTGTCTTTCAAGTTTCAAATCTCTTTCATCAAGAAACTCATCATCCAACCACTTGAAGAAATTACAACCCTTTTCAATGTGGTTTCTGTAATTTCTGCAACCCCAGAATTTTCTCCCCTTGTTGGCATTGTTCACATCATTCATTGTTCTAAGAACACTTTCATCTTGGCAAAAGCACTCGATCCTCTTGTTTTTACGAATCAAAGATCCAGATGTGCCATAGCTATGGTTGTTTGAAGTTGAAGCATTGCTTGCACTCTTTGACATTGCTTGAACCCAAATTTCTAAATTGTAGAAGAAAATCGAAGATAGTAGAAGAAAATTGGAAGAAAGAGATTTAACCCTAAATTAAAGATGAAGATAGAATAGGTTGAAATATGGAACTAAGATGAAGAAGAATGGTGGAAGAAGAATGAAGAAGTAAGAGCGAAATATGGAACCGTATGTAAGGCAACATATACATATACTGATGTGGAATCCTAAATTGGCTTACTTGGCATGCCACCTCACATAAACTAATGTTTTTGACACAAACTAACGGAAGTGACCAAAGTGTTTAACGGAACTTAAATTAAAGGATTATTACGTAACGTTTTTTTAGTTCAGGGATCAAAGTGAAACTTCGTTCAAAGTTAAGGGACCTAGTGACTAATTATACCAAAATAAAAGAAAAACTGATGGCTAACAAAAAAACGATATTAAATATATAAAAATCTTACAAAATTTTATAGCTACAATAATTTTATTAGTTGATCAATTTTGTAACTAATTTAAATTTTATTAAAAAACTGAATAAAATAATAATTCATAAAATACAAATATTTTGGTTTCTAAATATTAAAAAAAATAACAATCATGTGATTAAACGTTTTAATAGCTAATCATCTTATTATTTGATCAACTTTTATTACTATTTTGAATTTTTTTTAAAATTTTAAAATTATAAAATTCTAATATATAATTTAAAAAAAAATGATATACACTCCTCAATAAAATGAAATATTTCTAATACCTATAAATAACAACTTACTTTAAAATAAATAAATAACACATAATTTAAAATATTGAAAGATAAATAATATCGAAATAATTTTGTAATTCCTTTTTATTTAAATAAAAACTTAAAACTATCTCAATACCATTGTATAATATATATATATATATATATATATATATATATATATATATATATATATATATATATATATATATATATATATATATATATATATATATATATATATATATATATATATATATATATATATATATATATATATATATATATATATATATATATATATATATATATATATATATATATATATATATATATATATATATATATATATATATATATATATATATATATAAAATTATTAAAAATATTTAAATTAAGCATGTCTATATTTTATAAAAATAAAAAAATATTAACCATTACAATATTCAAATATATACAAAATTGATTAAAAAAAATTTAAAACCTCCGTGAAAATAGGGTGTGAAATATTTATACTATATAGTTGAAAGATAAATAATACATAATCATAAAACATTCTTTGTTTATCTCGGAACACTATTTATGCAAGAAATTTATTATACTTAGTCTGTGCATAATCAGTTAAGATTATCAGAATTTCCACCGTTGTGACCACCATTACCATTGTGTCCTCCTCCCCCATTAGGATAACCACCATCACCATTGGAGCCTCCTTCACCATTACGGTAACCGCCACCACCCGGTTTGTTCTTACCCACTTAACACCCCTCACAAATTCACAAATTCATATTGATATTTGAATTTAAAAACTCTACAATCAACTGCATGTCCACCAAATATATCTAAATCTCATGACAAATAGCATAAACTCATTAACAATATATAAGAGAATAATAAGACTATATCTATAAATAGTTACGAGAAAATTGTGACCATGTCCTCCTCATAAACAAACAATTAAGAGTGTTTTTTTTAAAGTACCATCACCATTATTTTTAAAAGGTTTTAAATAAGGATCATCACCATGTTTTCACCACATCTTAACATTACTGTGATTAAACCTAAGATCCATTCCCTTAATTAAATCACATGTCTCAAAAAATAACCAACATTCACTATCTTATCTATTAAAGGCATAAACTTCCTCACCCTCATACTTGTGGATTGGGTCTTATGACAAACTTCAATAAAATAAAATCTAAAAAGAAACATATGGACCTACCTTAGTTTCAATGTCGAGGGACCACAAAGCAAGCACCTTTCACGCCAATGTTGGTACCACAAAGCAAACGCAATGAGAAGGGAGACAACTTTCTACAAACAAAATAAAAATAGGCATTGTGTTACTAATACTATGTTCAACAAAGAAAATGCAAGAGCTTGAAGAAAAATGAAATTGAAGATAACATTACCTTTTGTGAAGAAACGAAGGAACGAGAGTGAGAGTAAATTTTGAAAGAGAAAATGATTTAGGGTTTTCAATTCTAAGTATATATTAAGCATTGCTTAATAAAAAAAATGGCAACTAAGCCTCCACGTATGATTCCGTTATGTGGAATAAACACTGGGATAAAAATTAGGGATGGAAAATCTTAGAAGGACGATTCTTTGAATAAAAATGTTATGGGGACTAAAACTAGATTTTGGATTATTTACAGGGACTAAAAACATATTTAATCATATAAAAAATAAAAAATGGAACAAATTGCCACATGTCATCCATGTCAGATTTTTTCGTCATGCTGACACTGTTATGCGTATGCCTAATCATAAAAAAAAGTTTCACGTGACATTCCAAATCAGCTTCTATTACATGTCATTAGCAGTAGGAAATCAAAAGTGTGGTTGAAAAATATTAGAAAGAACATTTTTTGAAAAAAACAATTTGAACGACTAAACGTGAAAAAAAATCATATTTAAAAAGACTAAAAATATATTTAACCCTAATAAATATCACCCATAATTAATTATAATTAAAAACAATAATAAGTACTCAATTTTGTTAATAACTACAATATTTTTTTTATAGAGTCTAATATCACAAAATATATAATAACTATCTTATTTTGTTAAATTACAAAACATCAAAAAAGAAACGATCATTCAAAAATAAAATTAAAAAATTGATGACTAACAAATAAATTATATTAAGTATTTAAATTTTTTATAAAATTTAAAAATTACAATAATTTTATCAGTTGATCAAATTTCATAATTAAATTAAATTTTATTCACAAAATAATATAATACAATTACACTTCAACTTTTATTTTAAAAATCATATGTTACAAAAATCTTATTATTATATATCTGAAAAAAGTTAATAACATCTAAATACAATTATCACTATTTAAATAATTAAATCTTTTTACCTTACACCTAAAATATATAATTATATTATTTTGTTAAACTAAAATAAATCGATCAATCAAAAATAAAAATAAAAATTTGATGGCTAACAAAAAAAAGGATATTAAATATATAAAAATCACACAAAATTTAATAGCTACAATAATTTTATTAGTTGATAAATTTTTATAACTAATTTAAACTTTATTTAAAAAATTAATAAATTAATAACTCATAAAATAGAAATAATTTGGTTCCTAAATATTAAAAGAAACCAATAATCATGTGATTAAACATTTTAATGGCAAATCATCTTATTATTTGATCAATTTTTATAACTAATTTGATTTTTTTTAAGTTTTAAAATTATAAAATTCTAATGTATAATTTGAAAATATAATATACATTTCCTCAATAACATGAAATATTCCTAATACCTACATATAACAACTTACTTTAAACTATAAAAAAAAAATCTCATAATTCAAAATATTTAACATATTTTAGCCCAACAAAATAATTGAATAACATCAAAACAATTTTGTAATTCTTTTTTATTTAAATAAAAACTTGAAACTACCTCAATACCATTGTATAATAAAATATGTTGGTGCAAAGATAGAATAAATGATGAAATAGGAAATATTACTAATAAGAGAATGACGGCTACAAAACATGATATTTGTTACAATGATTGTCACCCTATTTATAAGCTAAAACTAGGGTTACTAGAATAAGATAAATACTAAAATACCCTCTAACAAACTTAGGGGCCAAGAAAATAGTACAACTAAATAAATATGAATTATTAATAATATTCTAATACCATCCCTTAATTCATATTCCATCAAAACTTGTTACACCAATTCCATCCCTTAATATGAGAAATTGATCAGTTTTGATAGCTTTCGTCAGAACATCTGCCAACTGCTTCTGAGTGCTGCAGTGTACAACTTCTAACACTCCACTCTGAACTTGATGTCTCAGAAAATGATACTTGGTCTCAATATGCTTGCTTCTCCCATGCAACACTGGGTTTCTAGCAAGATTGATTGCAGACTTATTGTCAATCATCAACTTCAGAGGTTTGTCTACTTTAATCTTCAGATCCTGCAACAGATTCAGAATCCACACAGCTTGGCATGCAGTAACAGCACCTGCAATGTATTCAGCTTCACAGGTTGACAACGCCACAACAGGTTGCTTCTTGGAACACCAAGAAATGGGACCTCCCAGAAATTTGAACAAGTACCCAGATGTACTTCTTCTGTCAACTCTGTCTCCACACCAATCAGAGTCTGAATAACTCAGAAGTTCTGACTCATTATTTCCTCCAGAGGGAAATAACACTCCATACTTCAGAGTTCCTTTGATATACCTCAGAATCCTGACAGCAGCTTGGTAATGGGACCACTTAGGTTTACTCATGAACCTACTAACCATCCCAACTGAATAGCAAATATCAGGTCTGGTATTGCACAGATACCTCAGAGAACCAACCAACTGTTTGAAGGTTGTAGCATCCACATCCTTTCCTTCAGAGTCTGAATCCAGTTTCTGATTTGTATCAGAAGGTGTGACAGCCATCTTACAATTCTTCAGATCAAATCTCTTCAGAAGTTCTAATTCATACTTGAGCTGATGCAAAATGATACCTTTCTCAGAATATCTGAACTCCATCCCTAGAAAGTATGTCATTTTTCCTAGATCAGTCATTTCAAATTCATTCATCAGAACTTTCTTGAACTTGGCTATCTCCTGTTCAGAACTTCCAGTCAATAGTATATCATCAACATATAAACATACCAGAGTCATATTGCCTTCAGAAGTATGCTGAACATAGACACCGTACTCCATCTCACATTTCTGAAAGCCTTGCTTCTTGAAAAATGAATCAATCTTCTGATTCCAAGCTCTG